TTTGATAAAATCTCCTGCTGCCGCCATCCCATACCCACCACCACCAAAAAACAAATAAACAAAAAAACAATCCAAATGCCTATTCTTAACAGAGGAGGTTATCTAAACCTATGTAACCAATAGCGCATTCTATAGAGCTACTCAGTCAACAAACTCAGTTATTTACTGATTGAATAAATGTGGAAACAGGGTCCTACAGCTGCAGGAACTTCTGTGTGCGCCCCACAGATACCTCCAAGAGAGGAAGCTGGTACCCTGCCACCCAGGGAAACCCCTACTACTAGCAGGATGGTTAGGGGTATGCCGAAATGGGGTTTTTAGGCAAAACCAGACACTATGAAAGGACATTCTACTGCATGCAGAGTACATAAAATGGTTTCTTTGTGGATGTGTGTGTGAAAGAAATGCTTGTAAGTTCCGATGGCCCCTGACTGTTAGTCTATTAGGTATGAACAGTGCATGGAATGGCTGACAGACTGGAACATGTCAGATAAACTAGAGGAGCTAGCCTTTTGCTCTTGTAAAGGACCATTAATTCAAGTAGAACGAATAAGAAAACTAATGGAAGAGCTCTATTCTGGCATGCTGCCAGGACCCTGCCTTCTTGTCCATGCATGCTGTTTTGATTCTGAGGTCATCTTCACTGGTACCTCCATGTAAAAATAGTTCAGGTGGCTTGGCTAGTGCTGAGCAGCCAGAATCTCAGAGGAAAAGGAGACAGACCACATGCACTTTCAACCAGACTCTGAGGTTGTGAAACTTTTTCCAGATGTCACAGCTCCAAAGCCTGAGTCGGCAGGTGGGCTAAACGTGTGCTTGTTTAACTGGCACCTAGGGCTTCAGAACTGGTGGAGTCGCAGGAAAGGAGCAACCGTGAGGTGTGATCATCCCTTCTCCCTCCTACCTCCACAGGCCTCAAGGGCAGCATACCCCCACCAGACGCCCACCTCTCCTTATCCCTCCCCTTTGTCTCTTCCTTGTTCCTTCGTTCTGCTTTTAGAAGACTCTGAAAATACATGGAATTATTTTTTTTCCAAATGTACATTGATCCTACTTCAATCTATAAGGTACTTTAAATCACACCATCACCCCTATATAAGCCTATGTCTTTCTGAGGTTTGAAAAGGCAAGGAGGGAAAAGAAGAGGACAAAGAATGGAAGTTTTACTTTTTTAATCTGTTACTTTTCTATTTTTACAAAGGAAATAATCCTGATTTTAAAATAATCTCTCAAAAAGGCCATGTGTGTATCTTACACAGACAAAGGCACAGGAAATCTGTGGTTCTGGTTTCCCAAGAGGCTGAGAGCAGGCAGTAAGCCTGGTCGGCAACAGAAAACCACAGGCAGGCCATTAAAAAGGGTCACTAGGAACTCAGAGACCATGCTTTCCATAAAACACTATCATATGACACAATTTGGGCGACAGTGACTGTGAAAGAGTATCTCAGACACATTAGGCACTGTGTCGGGGCTGGTTTGTTAAAACAACCATCATTATTGAAGGCTTATTTTTCTGGAAAAAGGTATTCCAGTTTCCAGACAGATATAAACCAATTTTTGAAATGCAGAGCATCATGATTTGGGAGCTTCTTGCAGCATGTATATTCCTAACAAACAGCCAATTCAACTAGCTTATATTTCAGAAGTAAAATAACACAGGTGAATATAATGTACATGATCAGCATATTTCTGAGAACAGAAATTCAAAGTCAGAAAACACAGAATCTCAACATAATAATGCCTACATTTATTTTGTGGTCAAGAGGATTTTTTTAGAGACCAAGCACTTTACTTCACATTAAAAATGAGATTACTGATCTACCATATCCATTAACTCATAGATTAAGTATAGAAGGTTATCAAAGGCTTATAAAATACAGAATTACAGGCATAGCTGATAATAGTATAAACAAATCATTTTAATGCATTGTATTCAATTTTGTGCTCTTAAGTATATTGATTTCTGGACTGTTTTGTTAACAGCTCTGTAAAACTGCCACCTATATTTCCATTTAATAAAATACAATTGCTCCAAGCATGGTGGCTCATGCCTGTAATCCCACCATTTTGGGAGGCTGAGGCAGGCAGATCACTTGGGCCCAGAAGTTCAAGACTAGCCTGGGCGACATAGCAAAACCCCATCTCTGCAATAATAATAATAATAATAATATTAATAATACAAAAGAAATGAGCAGGGCATGGTGGTGCACACCTGTAGTCCCAGCTACCTGAGGGGCTGGGGTGGCAGGATCACTTGAGTCAAAGAGTTCGAGGCTGCAGTGAGCTATGATTGTGCCACTGCCCTCCAGCCTGGGTGATAGAGCAAGACCCTGAATCGAAAAAATTAAAAGTTAAAAATAAAAAAATAAAAAATAAAATTGTAGTATACTATAGTTGTGAACTGCTCTCAGTTCACACTTTTTATATTCTTTATCAAACTTTAAAAACTATGCACTAAATCAATTCAGAGTGAAATGTTTGCAAAGCAATCTTAAAAACTGTCAACTAAGCCATGAATCACAAAATCCTTACTATTTTATATCCAAAAGTTCTAATTCAATACATTAGACAACCGTAAGCTCTTTCGTTCTTGCCTAGCTTAGGTCTGAGAGCAAATCTACGAGTATTCATGTGCTCCTTTGTGATCGTAAGGTTTCACTGTCTTCATAAGCCAGTTCTTACCTTCAGGGTGGTGTCCATGTACGGGTCCTCCTCACGAGCTGCCGCCGCACTGCACCGTACAGTGAAACACTGCAGGTTGTTACTGAGGAGGAAGAACCAGGCTGCTGAGCAAAGTGAGGCCAAGAACCAACATACCCACACCAGGGAGGGTTTCACAGGCAAACACGCCAATGGCAGGGGTGGCAGTCAAGTATCTATCAAATATTGCCAAGGTAAACTGCTTCTCAGTAAGAGGAATGCCTCAGAATCCCTGTGGTTTTTAAAAATATACAACTGGTCCCCATAACACCCCCAGTGAATCGCAATCTCTAGGGGCTGAATCTAGACGTGTATATTTCTACAAAACTCCGTATGTGACTCTGACGTGCATCTATAGTTAGGAACCATGGAACTGGGTCAATATCTTCATTTTACAGACAAATGATGCCCCCAGTACCTGCCCAAGGTACAGAAGGGTGTCTATCAAAACCAAGATTAAAACCCATTTCTTAACTGTTGTTCTTCCTCACCCACCTCATGATGAAATCCAACCTGGATTATGCTGGACAACATAGACTATGCAAACTCAAATCCAATGGTCAAATTGAAAATGAGAGACCATCTAAAGGCATCTTCAGAATTACCTAGTCCAGCAGCTTGTTTTAAAGATTGGGGCATGAAAGGTTCATGACTGGTCCACCGCCTCTCTGGAGAGTACAGCCAATTAGATCCCAGGTCTCCTGACCCCTCACACTCCTCTACCTCTTTCCACAACTCCAGGCTGCTTCTGCATACAAAAAGGACCTAGGGACTCCACAGTAAGTGCCTGGTTGTCATCGAGGTCAACCCTCGAATATTGACATTAAAAACAGTTAATTAACTTAGAAATTGCTATACAATGATGTATATTTCTGTCCCATTATGTGATGGGACAGAAATTAATATTTTTATTCCTTCCTTCTCCCTCCCTTTTTACAAAAAAACTATCAAGTGGGAGAAGCAAAAATGAACTCTTTAAAATTAAAAAAAAGGACTAAAGCAAACCTAACAGTAATATTAAACTTAAAAAAATTCCTCAAAAAGAAAGGCATTCTGATATTTTTAGTTAGGAGACTTAGCACATTTTAAGAGGTAGTCAGGCCTCTCTCCATCTGCTGGTGCTTCCACTTCAGCCTCAGTCCACTGCAATCTCTATCTCTGCAAAGTTCTAGGAAATGACTCCTGGAGTCCTGACAATAACTAGGACGGTAGCACCACCATTTACAAATCTGGAGTACAGTTAGCAACCTTGGGAAGTAAACTGAGAGAGAGGGAAGCAAAAAAGCACCTGCAGTGGGACCAGAAGGACAGTTGAGAATAGCTATGACCACAAAAACAAATGACCTTTAGATTCTAGAGATAAAAAGGCAGGGTTTCGGCTGGGCATGGTGGCTCAACCCTGTAATCCCAGCACTTTGGGAGTCTGAGGCGGGTGGATCACGAGGTCAGGAGATCGAGACCACCCTTGCTAACATGGTGAAACCCTGTCTCTACTAAAAATACAAAAAAAAAAAAAAAAAAAAAAAAAAAAACCACATGGCCAGGCACAGTGGCTCACGCCTGTAATCCCAGCACTTTGGGAGGCTGAGGTGGGTGAATTGCCTGAGGTCAGGAGTTTGAGACCAGTCTGGCCAACATGGTGAAACCCTGCCTCTACTAAAAATACAAAAAAATTAGCTAGGCGTGGTGGCAGGCGCCTGTAATCCCAGCTACTCAGGAGGCTGAGGCAGGGGAACTGCTTGAACCAGGGAGATGGAGGTTGCAGTGAGCTGAGTCATACCACTGCACTCCAGCCTGGGCGACACAGCGAGACTCCATCTCAAAAAAAAAAGAAGTCTTGATGTGCTTAACTCTGGGAGAAAAGGATTTCATGGGGGGCTTTCCTACTTACATATTTCTATAAAGTTGGCATTTGACATGATTTTATTTTGTTCTTTGCTTCTTAAAAAATCTCTATTGCTTTCTTTGGGCGTATACCAATCTTCAAGAAACTTTTCAAGACCACCTTACGGGACAAGCGATTTTGAAACATTTATCTATTGGGTAAAATAAAAAAGATGGGCCAGGCGCAGTAGCTCACATCTGTAATCCCAGCACTCTGGGAGGCCGTGGCGGGTGGATCATCTGAGGTCAGGAGCTGGAGACCAGCTTGGCCAACATGGTGAAACCCCATCTCTACTAAAAATACAAAAAAATTAGTCAGGCATGGTGGCAGGTGCCTATAATCACAGCAACTTGGGAGGCTGAGGCAGGAGAATCGCTTACACCCCGGAGGCAGAGGTTGCAGTGAGCTGAGACCGTACCATTGCACTCCAGCCTGGGCAACAAAAGCGAAACTCCGATTTGATTTGAAAAACAGGAGTGGAGATTCTTATTAAGAATCTGAATGTAGAGCAGTGTGAAGAAGAGGCAAGAACGACCCCTGGACCGACCAAAGTCTGCGCGCGCTGCATCCCGCGTCCAGCACCTACGTCCCACTGCCTTCCCCACCATGCCCAAGAGAAAGGCTGAAGGGGATGCTAAAGGAGATAAAGCCAAGGTGAAGGACGAACCACAGAGAAGATCCGCGAGGTTGTCTGCTCCTCCAAAGCCAGAGCCCAAGCCTAAAAAGGCCCCTGCAAAGAAGGGAGAGAAGGTACCCAAAGGGAAAAAGGGAAAAGCTGATGCTGGCAAGGAGGGGAAAACCCTGCAGAAAACGGAGATGCCAAACAGAGCAGGCACAGAAAGCTGAAGGTGCTGGAGATGCCATTTGAAGTGTGTGCATTTTTGATAACTGTGTACTTCTGGTGACTGTACAGTTTGAAATACTATTTTTTATCAAGTTTTATAAAAATGCAGAATTTTGTTTTACTTTTTTTTTTTTTTAAAGCTATGTTGTCAGCACACAGAACACTTCATTGTTGTTTTTGGGGGAAGGGGCATATGTCCCTAACAGAATGTCTCCAAAGCTGGATTAATGTGGGGAAAACACCTTTCCCTTCTAGTTTTGAGAGACTTCCTCTTGGCTCCCAGGAGGAGGGATTCCCTGACTTTGACACACATGGCCACCTTGGCACAAAAGCCTTGTGGTATGGAAAAACAAATTTGTTTTTATGTCCTCTTCTCCCTTTCCATCTTTCAGCATAGACTTAACTCCCTTAAGCCCAAACATCTGTTGAGAACTAACCCCTAGTCATTGGTTACCAGTGTGTCCGGCAATCTGGACTTTCCAGTCCAGAAAGCCACTGAGATGGCACCTGTCAAAACAGCAGTGGTTCCATTTCTAGATTGTGGATCTTCAGGTAAATTCTGCCATTTTCATTTCACTTCCTGAAAGTCAGGGTCAGCTTGTGAAAAGTTGTTAAACAACATGCTAAATGTGAAATGTTAACCCTCACTCTAAACTTTCCCTGTTCAGAGCATGAGATGAAGACTTCATTGGGTTTTATAGTGGCTTTCTGATTTTTGGCAATCCATTGAAGAAGGGAGTTCAAAAGTTGTTGTATACTATTAATGATTGTCTGCCCATGTCCTGCCTGAAATACCATGATTGTTTATGGAAAGTATCTTTAATAAAGCTGGATACAGCTTGGTTTGGAAAAAAAAAAAAAAAAAAGAATCTGAATGTACACAAAACAACTGCTATTCTAATGTCTAATGGTTTCACAGTCAAGTTAATGATGTCAGTCTCCTTTAGTGCTGATAATAAGCTCAAAAATTTCCTATCTGGAGGCAGTCAAAATGCACGAATTAAAAGTCCATTCAAACTCATAATATAATGCTTTCAGGACTCTACACTCCAAACTTGTACATAACTTATAAATAAGACAGATGGGGCAATAGATTTAGTGGGTCCACTCACTAAATTCTCAGTGTACTTCAAGTATATGCAATCAGATGGGAAAAAGATGGATAGTCTTTTACATCTATATGATGGGACAGAAATCAGTATTTTTATTCCTTCCTCTTCCCTTTCTTTTTCCATTGTTTCTGAGATGGTATAGTTTCCTAGATTCTTCTGCATCCTTAAAAATTTTCATCTTTCTCCTCTTGCTTACTGAGTAACACCTTCACCAGAGTTTAATTCTTTAATAACTTTTCACTCTCTATATACACTCTCACTACTTTAATAATCAACTGTTTTGTTGGTGGTAATAAAACTTCTAAGCTTTCCTCTTTACCCTAATCTACAGTTCTATGTATCCAAAAGTCTACTTAGCATTCTCTCGATAATCTATAAGCATTTCAAACTCAAATGTCTAAACCAAACATCTCTTTTGCCCATTTCACCAGCCTCCAGTGTTTCATAAAAGCAGACAAAACCATGGTGGGATTTTTCATGCCTCCTACATCCCCATTATCCCATCAGACAAGTCTTTTAACTTTCCCACTGAAGCCTCTCCCATCCATCCTCCCTTCTCCTTTCATTACCACTACCCTGCCTGAATACCGCCCCTTAATATCTTTGCCTGAACTATTCCAATAGTTTATTTATCTATGTTCAATCCACCTTCCACCACAGCCACCATTAATTTTCCTAAAATGTTCTGATCATATTACTTTATCTGGTTAAAACTTTAAAAGTCCTTAGTTTAATTTTCAAATCCTTGAGCTCTCTCTCAAGCAGTTTCCACCACCTGTCTACTTTTCAGCTTCTTCATATTTAAAGAACATCACTACCCAACACTTTGGACATTGGAAAGACTAGCTACCTCCACATTGTTCACTTAAGAAACACACTGCCAAGGGCAGCATTTCTCCTTAAGCCAGAAATCAGGTGGAGAAGGGAGTACAACCACTAAGAGTGGATATCAGAATCTCCAGATTGGTTCTATGCAGTTTGGAAGCTCCAGCACCTGCTAGAGATTCTGATACTACCACTCAGTGGTGGGGGGATCTCTGTCCTGTGCAATTAACTTTTGGATGTTCCTAAAAACTTGATACAGTTTTTGTTTATAGTCTTCCTTCAATCTATAATGCACATCTCTTTCCATCTTCATCTACCAAAATTCTAGCTAGCTTTCATGCTTCACTTCAAACACAATCAGCTATCTACAACTTCCCCATATAACTTAGCCAGAAGTAATTTCCTTCCTCCCAATGTCAATGGCACTTTCATGAGGTCTTAAGACATTTTTCACAAATCTCCCAGTGTCTATGACTCTTGTATGTCTCTCTTTCTCTTCTATTGTTGTTTTAGAAAGTGGTTGGTGTATCTTATTCACAGTTGCTTGGTCAGAGGACACAACGAAGTGCCCTGAACATAATCTAAGCTCAAAAAACAGGAAATAGAACCAAAACCATCATATGCTGCTGAGATTAAAAGGAAATGAAATCAAGCTACTGCTTGTGAACCCAGTTTACATGCCAGCATAACAGGGGAAGGCAACTCAACACATCTGCCACCAAATAGCACATGACTTTGACCAATTCTAACCTCTCTGTAACTACTTCCCTATCTGTGCCAATCAGGGAGAGAATAAGATCATCTCTCTGGCCCCTTCACAGTTCTAAACTATTACAAAATAACTCAATTTATACTAGAAAAATATGGTAGCAGTGAGAAAAAAAAATTAGGAAATCTAAAAAGAAACATAAAGAGACACTCTGACTGGCTGCATTGACTTTTCATTAAAATTCCCTATGAAAGTCTTCCTTTATGAAGAACCTTATACTTCTTTACAGGGATCCCATTCAGTCTAAGGAAACAAAACAAAGAGAAAACCAGGGTCTAAATCTTTGACATTCAAAAGGCAGGTATGGGTCATCAAAAGACGGACTTGCAATGACATGTAACTCATGCATTTAGAGTACTCTCTGCTAGTTCACAAAATTCTTACAGATTTAGGCAGTACCTCAAAAATTTACAAATAAGTGACTCACAGGCCAGCAAGTGACCCTGTAACAGTACCTTGTAATGACGTGCAAAAATTGTGGCGTGAGTACTGCCTGCTGAGACTTCTCAGGATACTGGTAGACTGACATCAATTCAACAGATTTCACAACCATGTAGAGATAGCCCACATGAGGTAAGGAGAAAAAGCAAAAGAGACTCAGCAACTCTTTTTCCTGAGACAAATTTTTTCCATCAGAAGTAAGAGAACCTGCATGCAAAAATGAAAAAAATAAAACACCATGAAACCAGTAAAGGGGGAAATAATCATATGTTGACTTTGCTATGCAAACTGTATCAGCGGGTAACCAAAGAGTTGCAAAGGGGAAGTCGCTCTTTATAGAAGAATGCTGACAAGAAATAAAAAAGGAGTAATATAATTAGAATATCAACATTGTACAACCCCTACTAAATTAACAGATCTAAGTAATGATCATCAATGGCTGTTAACATCACAAAAAGAGTCCACTGGCAGAGCTCAACACTACTTGTGTTTCAAAATAATAACAATAATAAAAAATAATCTGAGCAAGCCTGAGGATAGACCGGCAATGTTGATAGAAATATGTGAGCCACATCTGTAATTTAAAGATTTCTAGTAATCGCATTTTAAAAAGTAAAAAGAAACAGCTAAAATTTTAATAATATTGTATTAACCGAACATATCAAAAATATTACCATTTCAAGAAGCAATAAACAAAAAAATTAATGAGATATTATATACATTTTTGTACTATGTCTTCAAAATCTAGTGTGTATTTTATACTTATGCCATATCTCAATTCAGACTAGTCATATTTCAAGTACTTAATAGCAGTATGTGATCAATGGCTACCAAAGTAAACAGCATACATTTCCATCTACCAACTCACATGGAAATACGGTGGACAGAGAAATATGTTAAATGACACTGTAAGGATTCAATTAGCAAAATTCAGATTGTGGGAAATTTTATAGTAGAGTCTAATTTCTTGTTAAATAAGATGCAAAGAAAAGAGAGGAGGGAAAGCCTAGATATTAAAAGAGCCTTAAAAGACATAGCAATCAATTGTAATATATGAACTTTATTTGGAACAGGATTCAAACAAATGAATTGTAGAAGTTTTTTAGTCAATCAGAGACATGTGAACACTTATTGGATATCTGTTGGTATCAACAAAAAAAATTTTTTTTTTTTTTTGAGACAGTCTCACTCTGTTACCCAGACTGGAGTGCAGTGGCGTGATCTCGGCTCACTGCAACCTCCGCCTCCTGGGTTCAAGCGATTCTCCTGCCTCCCAAGTAGCTGGGACTACAGGTGCCCGCCACCATGCCCGGCTAATTTGTGTGTGTGTATGTATGTATGTATGTATGTATGTATGTATGTGTGTGTGTGTGTATATATATATATATTTTTTTTTTCCAGTAGAGACGGGGTTTCACCATATTGGCCAGGCTGGTCTCGAACTCCTGACCTTGTGATCCACCCACCTCAGCGTCCCAAAGTGCTGGGATTACAGGCATGAACCACCACGCCCGGCAACAATTTTTTTATAATGTGAAATAGTATTTTAAGTAAAAGAATCCTTTTAGAGACATATGTTGAAATATTTATGAATAAAATAGTATGAACCCCGTGATGTGCATCAAAATAATGTAGCATGGAGCAACACTGTTGAAGCTGTTTGATGGGTACATGGGGGTTCACTGCACTATTTTCTATCAACATGTGGCTGTAATTTTTTATAACCAAAGTTGTTTAACAAGTACCCTGACTGACACCCTTCAAGGACACCAATTAATAGCAGAAGTCCAATTCTGTACTCTCCATATTTGGCAGAAAGCCAACTGTCCAGTTTTTTTCTCCCTATTCTTTTTTTTCACACATATGCGCTCTGGCCAAAGAGAACTGCTCACGAATCTCCAAATACACATAATTTTACAACTCCTAAAATGTTGGTTCCCATTATGTAGTATCTTACCAAAATCTCTATCTTCTAAAAATTCTACTCATCCAATTAGGGCCCAGCTCAAATACATATCACCCATCCATTCGTCTATTCAGTCAGTATTCATCAGGTACTTACTAAGTGCTGCTGTTTCAGATTCTAGGGATACAACAGTGCACAAGACAATGTAACTGCTTTCACAGAGCCTTCATTTTAGTGATGGGGATTGGGATGGAGAGTAAACAAGTAAACCCCAGTGTGAGTGGAGAAGGGATAGTTTAAATTGAGAGGTCAGAGAAGTCCTCTGTGAGGAGGTAACACTTCAGCTGTGAA